CCCTGCTAACCCTGCCTGCTAACCCCGCCTGCCCGTCTGCGCCGAGCAACTGGCCAAGACGCCTGCTCTGCACATGGGCTGGGTGCGCGGCCTCCAAACCCCACATGCACTTGCTGCCTGACAGGGCCAAGTGCTCTCTGCCCAAACAGCCAGGCTGCTTGGGGGCATTTGCAGAACCTCTGCGGGGGCCTGGCTTTCTCAAGGCCTTGGGGTGCTGGAGGCAGGTGGGGCACAGAGGGCTTTGGAGTGTCTGGCCGGGTCACAACAGGCTGCTTGTGCAAAGCTCGTCCTTGTCTAGCCTCCAAAATGGGAACTGAACTCTTGGAATTCGGCCCCCTGCAGGCGCTGAGCCCTGGGAAATCCAGCCCCGACTGTGGGAGCCGAGCCCAGGGGAATCCAGACCTGAATGTGAGCGCCAAGCCCTGGGGAATCCAGTTCCGACTGCAGGCGCCGAGCGCAGGGGAATTCGGCGCTGAATGTGAGTGCCAAGCGCAGGGGAATACAGTCCTGACTGCAGGCGCCGAGCCCTAGGGAATCCGGTCTCGACTGCAGGCGCTGAGCCCAGGGGAATCCGGTCCTAACTGTGGATGCCGAGACCAAGGGATTTGGTCTCAACTGTGGGCGCTGAGCCCTGGGGAATCCGGTCCCCTGCAGGTGCCAAGCCCAGGGGAATCCGCCTGTGAGGCTGGCCATATGTTGGGGCAGCAGGGGAAGGCCTGAGACGGGGTGGTTAATTTCCCATCTCTCCTTGGCCCCGGCACTGACACAGACAGCCCCAAGCGCAGCCTGTCTGCAGGCGATCTCAGCTCTGCCGGGGCTGTGTCTGAATCAAGATGAGCTCTGAACCGAGTCCCCTGTGAATGAGCACTCAGGCTATTGCGCCATTGATCACAGTAACACGCTGGCCTGCTGCCCGCGCTCCCGGCGGCAATCTATCCGCCCGCACGGCGGGGAGGGGGCCGCTGGCTTGTCACCACACCGAAAGCCTGGGACAGGCACTGAGCTCTCTTAGGGACGCGCTTTGGCGCGGGGCTGGCCAGGGAGCCGATCGCTCCAGCCCCGCCCAGGGCTGCGTGGGATGCCAACTTCTGCAGCTCTTCGTCCAAGAGAAGCTACGGCCACATCCTCCAAAGATCCTCTGCTCCCGTGTGCTCCCAGGGGACAGGGGAGCCCAGACCTGCCTCTGGCTCGTCCCTCCCGGCTCTGGGTTCTGGGCCCTTCGCTCCTGAGCACTGCCTGGCTTTGAGGGTGGCTGGATTCAGGGGGAACCCCCCGGCAAAGGGTGTGTCTCCAGGCCCCCACACTTCTGCCCATCGGCAGCCACCCCTCCCCCGACCGCC